CCTCCCTGGCGGGATCCCAGCAGTCTCCAGGGGCAGGCAACCTGGGATTTATGACAGCACAAAGTCAGTGATGCCAACCCCTCCAGTTCTGGAGCTGCTGAGCAGGTGGGTACAGATTTATCTTCAGTTCCTTGACATCTCCTTTCCTGGACTCACTGTCCACTTACACGCCTCTGCCCATATTCCACCTATTCTTGTTACAAAACTTTCAGTATGCTGTTCCATGCCTCCAAAGGCTTTCCAGTCAAACCTCGTACCTAAGTGATTGATCCCAAGTAATTGTTACATTATCTTGTTTTTTATTTCTGCCAAAAGATATTTGTACTTCAAAGGAGGAGTTTTGGGCCCCAAAGAATCTGTAATTGGTGGACTACAGCACTCCTAATTCCACTACACATAACTTTACCTCCCCACCATGAACATAACGTGTATTTATATGGACATGTGTGTGCGTGCGCGCACGCGCGTCCACACACACACACACACACACACACACACACACACACACAGCCTGATTTTATTGAAGGAATTGGTTGCTTGACAGTGTGTTGTTTTTAATTTTTGTTTTTTAAAGTTACCTTACTTGGTGAAATCTAGTCTCAGAACTGCAAGTTTGGCCAGGGAAGAAATCTATTGTGGATGGAGATTTAACTACAGTCTGAGTTTTACTTTCCCTTGGAATATATTTTGCTGAATTCCTCTGCCCCCACCTCAGGGAAGCACACCTCCCTGTCTCAGTTTTCCCAGAATCCAATGGGAGACCCTCCTCAAGGGGGCAGGATGACCCACCTGAAGGCAGCGCAGTGCAGAGGAAGGAGGGCGCTGAGGACAGACAGTTCGGGTTTAATTCTGGTGTCACCACCGCCAGCTGCATGCCGTGATCTGGGCTATTGCATCGTCAGTAGCCACCCTCTCTCCTAATAGCTCAATAAAAGCAAAAAACATGGGAACACCAGGAAATACAATCACCAAAGCTAACGGTGTATTGTGTAGGTGAAAACAACACAGAAAGTGCACTGGTTTTGCAATGTCAGTGTGAGTTTTTAATATGTCATTTTGTGCCCAGAAAAGAATATTCAGAGGGCCACTTTGGCTTTTTAAAATGTATGTTCCTTGTATTAAAGATGCAAATCAGAAACTCAGTTCTTCCTTAAGCTTTTATATTTAACTTACAAACAAGTGCAATTTAATCTCTTTAAAAGGTTGGATTTGAAGACTATTAGGTACCATTTATAAATGTAATTAACAATACTATTTTTAAACAAATCCAACATATAACTTACTTCATGTCCTTATAAAGTAATTTGGTCATCTGAGCTAACCAGCAAGACATCCCTGAATATCTAAAAACTCTTAGAAATCTAGCAATTTATAAATATGGTGTTCAATTCTTAGGTTTTATTGAATGTTCCCAAACTGCCATTAAAGGAAAGTTCTATTTCAAATCACATGTCTACACCTATTACACATTTAAAATTAGAACCATAAGGCCAGTTTGTTACGGTGACAGACTGAATTCTCTTAAACACGGCAAATATCTAAAATACCAAATATGCACAAATTCCTTAATACAAATACATTGATGCTATGTGTTTGATTTTCTTAAATATTAAAAAATTCTGAATAATAAAACAAACTTACCCACTAGGAAATAATTATATCATCCTAAGTGATTGGGGAGCCCCTTCCCAAGTGAGTTTTTGGAACAAGGTCTTCAGTGGCCCAGAAAGCGCAAGCAGCCGAGATTTGTCCCAAGGCTTTTAGGAAGCTCTTCTCGAGCTCCCGAGTGCCTCACTGAGCCCTGTTTTATGGATGCTGTGTCATTACTCTCTGAGTGAGCCAATTTTACACCCCAAGGCTCCTAGATTCACGTTACACTCCATCTCATTCTTCAGCCTACACACGGAAGTCAGAAACTCCTACCCAGGTTACTGCACCACTTGTTTGGATATAACTAATCTATTTAAGGACTCATTCTATTTTGAATTCTTTCCACACTCGTTCCAGCTTCTGGGATCACAACTCCTACAGATGGTTGAATTTCTCCTGGTGTTGCCTGACTCTGGTCACAGACCTAATGTTATACCAGAGACATGTAATAGCAAGATTAACATGCCACAGAGAATGGGCTTTGGGTTAGGATGAATGAAACTCTGGGGAGGTGTGAGAAAAATGTTATGGAATTGATATGATTCATTATACTCTTCTGTTATTTAATATGTTTCCTAGGTATTATTTTTACCTGCCTCCTAAGCTAGTAAGTGAATCTTTGATTGCCACAACTTAAGTGTGTCTGCCTAGCTCTAAATTACAGCCCCCTCCAAAGCCGTAACATGTGTTGGGCACATATTAGGAACCCAGTGATATGTGGAAAAAAAGAAAACAAGAACTTCTGTGCTCTCTTAAGGCAGTACCTGGGTTAGACAGAGAATTACTGGAGAAGCAAACAAACAAAAACAATGAATTGACAGCCCTGGCTGGTGTGGCTCAGTTGACACAGGTGTCTTCTAGATTAGGATCTTGAATGATAGGATATAATGTTTCCACTAACCATGACTGAGAGACTGCAGGAGCAGGGTTAAGTTTGGAAGCCAGGCAGATCTGAGCTCAGTTCCAAGTGTTTCTTTTTTCTTAAAAAAAGATGTCTGTAGGGCCCGCCGGCGTGGCTCAGTGGTTGAGCGTTGACCCATGCACCAAGAGGTTGCCAGTTCATTCCTGGTCAGGACACATGCCCAGGTTGTGGGCCCAATCCCCAGTGAGGAGGCATGCAGGAGGTGGCCAATCAATGCTCTCTCTCATCGATGTTTCTGTCTCTCTCTCCCTCTCCCTTCTTCTCTCTCTAAAATCAATGAAGAAAAAAAAAAAAGGTCTGTAGGACACTGAGGAGGTCAATAACAGTAGGTAGATGGAGACATGTGCCTGGAACATGAGAGATGGGGGCAGGAGATATGTTTCCGGGGGCAGGTAAGTGGCAGTTGAAGCCATAGAAGTGTACCAAGTCACTCAGAGAAGGCAGTGTGAGCTAAAAATAGGACCTAAGAATAGGACCCAGAGAAACACCATCATTAAGGTGCAGACAGAGGAAGTGGAGGCTGCCCACGCCGCTGGGGGTAAAGCCAGAGGGGAAGAAGAATGTTGTTTTTCTCTCACTTTTAGTTTGCCTTCCTTGGTCAGAAGCACAGGAGTGGGTAAAGATAGTGATACTGGTGGGCAGAGCATGGTATGGCGAGGCTTGGATGCTGCAGGGAGCTATATTTGGGGTGGATGCTGTGGGCGTGGTAGGTAGCAGGGAGCGCTCTCTGCCTTAGATCTCTTTTTCCAGAAAGCAGGGAAGGGGGTTGGGAGTCAGAATTTTTGGATTCTGTGTTTTCTCTGCCACATCACATTTCACCAACCATTCTTTCCTTATTCTGAGCCCTAGTTTGTGTAGGAAAATCTTTCTAAATATGGGAAGGGAGGTGTGTGGAGGAGGCCGAGTTGGTGGAGGGAAGGAGAGTAAGGGCAGCTGCCTTACGATGTGCTTGTGTGCTATGCACACACATGCACATGTGTGAGTATGTGTTTCTATGCATGTATATATATATACATCTTATGTTGGTCTTTATGTCTGTGTCTGTGTATTATATGTGTATATTTTTCTCTGTGTGAGTATCTATCAAGATAAATATAGAAGTTGAGAGGAAGCATTGAGCAATTTTTATGCCAATTTGATAGAATGATTTTACGTTAATTGAATCTAATAATATAAAGTTTGGCCTTAGGTTTTCTATATCTGTATGTTCTATTTAATTTTATTGTACTTTATGAAATTACTGGTCTGAGGCAGATTGCATATAAAACTGCTCCTTCACCATAGTTAGAGAAGCACTAATTAGGACCAGATCAAGATTTTTGGAAGGTCCTGATTCTAAAATTTCTGAGGGAGAGAAATTCACTTGAGAAGTCCTGCTCAGGATCATATCAGTGAGGCATGCAGTCAGGTGGTGAGGAGGTCAGGCCACGGATCTGGTTGACATCCCAGGGCTCAGCCTGCTCTTCCTCTCCTTCCTCCCCTTCGTGTGAGATGGGGCCATCGGGCTGTTTTCAAGGGGGTGGAGAGTACAGTCCAGGCTGCTCCTCTGAGCCCACACCAGCTCAGGGTACCGCCCTCCCTCCAGTGTGCTAGCCAAGTGAAGCTGATACCTCACAGAGATAAGGAGGGTTTTCCAAGCCTCCATACTTTGCCTCAGACACACCCTCAGTGAGGAAGAACAGTCTTTTATTGAAGCAAAATCATTCTTTTTAATCCTCACCAGAGGACATTTTTGCATTTATCTTCAGATAGAGTGGGAGGAAGAGAGAGAGAAACATCAGTTCAAGAGAGACACATTGACTGGTTGCCACCCACACGACCCCAACCAGGGCCAGGGACAAACTACACCCGAGTTACCTGCCCTTAGCGGGAACCGAACCTCGGACTCTCTGGTCCGCAGGCTGACACTCTAACCACTAAGCCAAACCAGCCAGGGCAAAATCAGACATTCTTGGCACAGGGTACCCAGCATAGATTCTCCTGCCCCCCTTCCTAGATAATCTCCCCTGCCTGGGATCCCTCTGAACTGTCTAACCACAGCCCTATTAAGGCCCTGACCTTAGTTTGCATTTGTAATTTTATATTTTTCTTTTTAAAGACAGTTTTCAAAGTTGTATATGCCATAGGCCCTACAAAACCTGGACCCACCCTGCTGACCGAGATGCTTAGGGGCTTAAGGGGCCACATGGTTTCACACACTCAGAAAACAATGTAAGCAGCAGTGAAGAGCTAAAGAGAATCACTCCTCTTCCCTCATCATTTCGGGCAGACATAAAACCCCTCCGGAATGAAGAGTATGTGCAGTTGGGCGTGTAGGAGAGAAATGGTATTTGCAGAGGCTAAGGATTAGTAAAGACCTCAAGGGAGGAAATGCAGCAGCAGCATCAGTAGTCTGCATGCAGAGCTTGGGTGAGGAAAACACCTGGCCTTAGACAACATTATCCAAGGGCACAGGAAACAGCAGGTACCTCAGGTCATCCTTCTGTTGTGGAGGGTCACGGACCACAATGAAGAGTGCGTCCAATTGCTTCTCTTTATACCTGCAGGCTGGGTACTTTCCCGAGGTGAGCTCACACTGGGTCAGGGACACAGGCTCTTCGCTCTGGTGGCAGCTTTTATGGCCGTTCTTGCAGGCTGTGACGGAGGTCTGGCAGGTGGCGGCCACACTGGAGCAGGATTCATGCAGGAAGGTGTTGAGGCCTTTGCAGTGTTTTGTGTGCTTGTTGATGTTGTCCATCTCTCCTTTGCATCCCTGGGGACTGGGCTGCACATGCTGAATTTCAAACCACTGAGCTGAGGTCATGTGTTTGGGCTTGGCGCTGACTGGGACCTGGGCCACCCACAGCCCCAGCAGGGGGAGCAGCAGCAGAGAGCAGCATCCTGCTCTGGCTGGTGCTGTGTCTCCTAAGAGGGACAACAGCACAGAGGAAGAGGTAGGGGGGTGGGCAGGTCACCAGGGTTCTGCTATCTCTTCTAAGAATTTCATACCCTCAGTCAATCACTGCAGCCTCAAACATTTAAAAACATCACTGGCATTTTATTGTTCAATTTCAGCAAATCATGTGCTCTTTTATGCTCCCAATAAATACTACATTGTTTATCCCTTAAAAGAATTTAATGAGGTAAGTATGATTACTTTTTTAAATATATGAGCAAACTGAGACTCAGAAAAGTTAAGGAACTTGCCCATCATGACACAGCTAGAGTGTGTCAAATACAGGATTTTAATCAACGCCTCATGGCTTCCAAAGGCCCTGTTCTTTCCATACTCCCAAGTTTCCTGTTTGAAACCCTGAGAAATCCGACTACAAAAAGAAACTAATCTTGGAAGAAAAATAGGCCAGGGGTCCATGCCTCACTCTCCCAGACTAGCTTGAGTTCCTGAACGAAGCAATATTAAGGTTGTGGAGTCAGGTTAATTCTGGTCTGCTCTGTGGCCCAGTTTCTCACTGAAGCTGGATAAACAGTCACTCCCAGTAAGGGGATCACCGCTCCAGCCAGCAGAGCAGCGTGGCGAGTTGGGTTATTTCCATGGCGGACATTTTGCCCTATTGGAGAAAGTCTTGGGATGATGGAGGGTTAGATCATCTCAATCAACTCTCTGTTTCACAGATGAAGAAGCTGGAGGTACTAAAAGAGGAAGTGCCCTTCCCAGGGCCACCAAATGAGTGGCAGAGCTGGGGCCAGGAGCTTCCTGACTTTCAATCCATCCCTTTGGTCTAGTGCCAGGCTGAAAAGGGGAAGAGAAAGTTGTTTTTACATGGAAGCAGAGCATAGTGTCTGTGTTTGTGATTTAAGTGGTGCATGAACATTGCCTTCAATAATTCTCTTCTAACCCTTCTGATAAAATGTAACAGAAAATCTCCTATTAGAGCAAGAAGGTAAATTCTTTGTTTCTTTCCCCTTTCCAAAAGAGACAACAGACTTCAGGTTGAGTTTTCAACTGGAAATAATTCTGGATAGAATTTTTAAACATTGGATGACGTTTTTACTTCTGTTTATTAAGTGACACTCATTCTTTGAAATATGGTGTTACACAGTTTCATTTTCAATGTATAATTTGAACTAAAAGAGTACATACACATTGAGTAAATTATATTTATATATTACTGGCAGTAAGTGGGTATTGCAACAGTTGTCAAGGGAGTAAGCAAATGAGTTAAGTTGGGTAACTTGCTCTGGCTACAGACTCTCAGATCGTGTGGATGTGTTAGATATAGTTCAGCATCTTCACCTCTGGGATTTGTGTGACTTCACTGCCTTTGAGATAAAACGCTCCTCAAATACTTGGCTCCCATACTGAAAAAGGCAACTAAAATGAAAATTTAACATAGTTATTCACCAACTACCACAGTAACATGAAGTAAATTTATTTATCTTTGTGAAATGCTTCACGAATTTGCAAAATTCACTTAGGCTTCTAGGATCTGGGTTTCCAGATGGGAAACTTCTGAAAGTTTTGCCCGTCTGCTTCCAAGGTGAAGCCTGGGTCACCAGCAGAACTCACCCGACGGTGGGGATCCCTTCATGCACTTCTCCCACTGAGCTAAGGAACTCAGGAGAACGTTATCCAGTAAGCAGTTGACTTGGACCCCTTGGAGCAAATATGTATATATAATTATCCAGTTAGTCAGTTCTATTTTGCAGGTCTCCGCTGAGCCTCTCCCATTAAGATGGAAGGATTACCAAGTGATTATTTGTTAACCGTTGCATATCCGAGCTTTGGAGTGAGAGAGTGGGGATGGCAGCAGGAGCCAAGACTGGCAGAAACGTTTTGTGCGGACCAAGAGGACTGACCAAAGATTTTGCGAGCTCTGAATCCACTTAAGTTGCAAACATGCTTTCCCTCAAGTAGATGCTGACCCTGCAGCTGGCCAGCCCCACACAAGGAGCCCAGGGGAAGGGGTTCGTATGATTGTGTATTTGATCCTGTCATTCATCACAAGTCTTCCCAACTGCCACACCCTCAGGGCTGTTTTAGGCCTTAAGGCTCAGTGCCTAGAGTCTGGGAACTAAAATTAAAATTTAACATAGTTACTCACCAGCTCCCACAGTAACATGATTTAGATTTATTTACTTTTGTGAAATGTGTCACGAATGTGCGGGTGATCCTTGCGCAGGGGCCGTGCTAATCTTCTCTGTTTCGTTCCAGTGTTAGCATGTGTGCTGCTGGAGTGAGTGCAATTGTATGTGTTTTGAAATTTGGCATACATAAGAAATTTATTACTTTGGAAATAAATCTTAGGTTAGATTTTCTTATTTTACAGAAATTCCCATGCACCGTGACTGCAGAAAGAACAGTGCTAGTGATAAATTCCTGTAGTCAAATCATTTTTAGAGTAAGACCTATTAAACCAATTTTAGATACATTTCTGTATGAATGATAATGAATGAGAAATATATATTTTATATATTTCATGTGGTGTGAAGAAATGGTAAAGTGCCCAGTGTAGTATGATGGTATTAAGCACGACCCTAGCCCGACCGGTGTGGCTCAGTGGCTGAGTGTCGACCCATGTACCAAGAGGTTGCCAGTTCAATTCCTGGTCAGGGCACATGCCCAGGTTGTGGACCCAATTCCTAGTGGGGGACATGCAGGAGGCGGCCAATCGATGTTCTCTCTCATCTATGTTTCTATCTCTCTCTCCCTCTCCGTTCCTCTCTCTCTAAAATCAATAAAAAAAATAATAAACATGACCCTAGACATAATACACACCACATTGAGGGTCAGGTCAACATAGGACTCGACAACAGCAACCGAAAGAAAGGAATAGTACTATCTACCATTTCTGAACATAGAATACGTGCTTGGCACAGTGCTAGTTAGTAGCTGTCATTAAAAAGAACTTACTGTATGCCAAGGCATTGTGCTTGATATACAGTTTTATATACAAAGCACCATTATGTGTTCCATGTTATTATCCCCATTTTACAGAAGAAGAATCTGAGGCTTGGAGGGGTGAAGGTCACAGGTTCAGTAGGTGGAGGGCCAGGATGGAAAATGTGGGTCTGGCTCCAAAGTAATGCTGCCCCTCTCTGCCACTCTGCCTTCCTGTTTATTACCAATTGCATTATGGGCTGGAAGTCACTTTGTAACCAAATTCAATTCTAATAGACTGGTCTTCCTATTGTCTCCTGGACATGTTTTGCTCCCTTCAACTTTACTTCTGTGGCTTTTTTCTCTTCCCTGAGAGCCCTCCCTCCAATAGTAGCTGTCTTTCAGAGCTCAGCTGTATCATTTCACCTTGATCATATATGTGAGCCTTCCTGTGCATCCCAAACCCAGGTCAATCCCTCCGGAACACAACCTCCCTCAGCTTTGACTCCTGGTGTCCCTCATTTGGGTACCTTGATTTATTATCTAACTCCTGTGTGAGTATCCAGTCTTCCCAAGTAGATGTAAACTGTGGTTCGGGAGTCTGGTCCGTCCGTGTTTGTTCAGCTCCATAGCGCCAGCACACTGAGAGCTCACAGAGACACTCAGTGACTGTGTGTTGAACTGAGTCACCACTCTGATCCTCTCAGTCTCCACGCCATTAACATAAAGAGTTTCAATGTACATACGCAGCAGAATTTTTACTGATACATCACCTAAGGCAACAGAAACAAAGGGAAAAATGAACACATGGGACTACATCAAACTTAAAAGCTCCTGCACAGCAAAAGAAACAACCATCAAAATGGAAAGGCTACCCACTGTATAGGAGAACATCATTGCCAATGATACATCAGATAAGAGGTTAATTTCCAATATATATAGAGTGCTCATACAACTCAACAAAAGGAAGACAAAGAACCCAATTAAAATATGGGCAGAGGAGCTGAATAGACACCTCTGCAAACAAGACATACAAATGGCCAAAAGACATATGAAGAAATGCTCAACATCACTAATCACCAGAGAGATGCAAATTAAAACAACAATGAGGCATCACCTCACACCTGTCGAAATGGCCACCATCAACAAATCATCAAACAACAAGTGGTGGTGAGGGTGTGGAGAAAAGGGGACTCTAGTACACTACTGGTGGGAATGCAGTGTACTGGTGCAGCCACTATGGAAAACAATATGGTGTTACCTCAAAAAATTAAAAATTGAATTACCCTAAGAAGCCGGAAACACCAATCAGAAAGAATATATGTACCCCCATGTTCATAGCAGCACTATTTACAATAGCTAAGATCTGGAAACAACCCAAGTGTCCATCAGTAGACAAATGGATAAAAAAGTTGTGGTACATATATACAATGGAGTACTGTGCAGCTGTAAGAAAGAAAGATCTCTTATCCTTTGAGACAACATGGAGGGACCTGGAGAGTATTATCCTAAGTGAAACAAGCCAAGCAAAGAAAGACAAATATCACATAATCTCACTTATTTGTGGAATATAATAAATATAACAGTCTGAGGAACAGGATAGACCCAGAGACGTGGAAGAATGGTACAGACTGACAACCTTCAGAAGAAGGGTGGAGGGGGTAGGGAAGAGATAAACCACAGAACTTATATGCATGCATGCATAACCGATGGACATGGACAACAAAGCTGGGGATGGGGTGGGGGGATGGGGAGGAGTGTGTCAATGGGGAAAAAAGGAGAAACATCTGTGACAAAAATAAATTAATAAACAAACAAAATGTGCAGTGCTAGATGATGAATACCACCACTAAAAATAACACAATGTATCAAGATGGGAATGAACTTAATTGGAAAAGGAAATTATTAGAAACACAGCAAGAGGCAGAAAAGACAGCTGAGAACATTCCCCAGAGATCAAATCATCCAAACAGCCTCACTGGAGGGCCACCATGGACACCTGGCTGTCCTGTCCCTTCAGTCTCTTCTCTGTAATCTTAAAATCATTAACTATCCTTGTCTATTGTGGCCTGAGTGTCCCAGACAGGAGTCTCTGGGAGCCTCATGTGTAGGTACCACAACCATCACCCTAGCTGTTATGGAGCAGGGAAGAGGACCAACTGCCCTTCCTCAGAAAGGGCGAGTAAGGTGCAGGGAAGCCCAAACAGCAGCAAATATCTAGAGGCACTGAATCTTCATTACAACCCGGTGGGAGTGTGTCTACTGTGCCTCCCCTCTCCTTTTTTGACAAGAGAAGGTACTGACTTGCTCAGGTTCACGCAGCTGGTCAAGTTCCAGCATGAGAATCATCCCAAACTCCTGGTTCTCGACTCCCAGTACAAATCTGTTTATCGTAGGCACAGACAATGATATGGTGGTTACCAGAGGGAAGGGGGGATGGGGTGAGGAGAAAAGGGTAAAGGGGGTCAAATATATGGCATAAAGAGACTTGACTTTGGGTGGTAAACAATATGCAATATGCAAATGATGTATTATAGAATTGTGAACTTGAAACCTGTAATTTTATTAACCAATTTCACCCCAATACATTGAATTTAAAAAAGGACTACAGGACTGATCTGCTCTGCAGAGTAGGGTATAAGTGAGGATGTAACAGTGGATACCTAGGTCTCCAGCACTAGTCACCCGGGCAGAACACTACCAGCCCTGGAGAGGAAACAAAGGAATTTCCAGACACCTGTGTGTCTCAGGAAGGTCTCCCATGATCTGAAGATCTTCCCTCACACCAACCAACTTGGGATATATTTAGTAGATAAAATGATCAACAGGGGCTCTCTTGCCAAAATGATGGAAGAACTGCATCTCTCCAGGGGCGAAAAGGCAAGTGTTCATCCAATATTGATGATGTGCCATGGAGCAGGGAAAAGAAAAGTGTCCTTTTGCACAACTTATCCTATAGTCGAGATTCCCTGAGAAGCTCAAATTGTTTGACTTCAATGATAATCTTGAGGTTTGGATGATGTGTTAGTCCAGAAATATGTGTGTGGTCCAATTACGCATGTTAATGTATCTTAAATTTAATTTATTTTCACAATAAAAAATCCAAAGGAACACAATTAAAAAAAAAACATTAAAAAAAAAAAAAGAGTTTCAATGTAATGATTTCTAAAATGCCTCCTGATTCTAACTCTGTCTGAAACATCAAAGTGCTAGTGGTCAGATTAGAATGTAAGGAGAAGCCCAACAGGAAGACCCTGAAGGTAGCTCAAAGAGGGGCAGTAGATAATAAGCAATGATTTCCAAAGACCATATATATATATATATATATATATATATATATATATATATTTTTTTTTTTTTTCCTTTATTGATTTTAGAGAGAGAGAAACTCAGAGGGAGAGGGAGAGAGAAACACTAATGAGAGAGAACATCAATTGGCTGCCTCCTGCATGTTCCTCACTGGGGATCGGGCCCACAACCTGGGCATGTGTCCTGACTGGGAATTGAACTGGCGACCTCTTGGTGCATGGGTCGACGCTCAACCACTGAGCCACACCGGCTGGACTAGACAGTGTTTTTGTGTGCGGTGCCAAGGAAGTCTGGGTTGCTGGCATGAAGGACAGAGCAGCGTGAGGTAGTCTTTGAGCTACAAGGCCCATGTCCAGTATGGTTGTCAGGCTTCACCCTGCATACAGCCTCCTGGTGCCGAGAGGCAGACTGTTCAGGAAAGAGGGGTTCTGGAGGAGTGGGGCTGGTGCAGGAGGGGCTGGGGCCACTACAAAGGACCAGGAGTGGCTAAGGGGAGAATGAGGTGTGCATTTTCTGAACCTTGGCTTGGATCCTGGATGATCCAGCACAGGTTCCTGGCACCTCAGGAGAGGGCAGAGGTTGTATGGAGGTTCAGCTGTGACCGATGAGCTTGAAGCTATGCTGCTCTGATGAGGGGCTTAGGATGGGGTGTGAGAAGAACTGTTGCTGGTGCTGTTTTCCATAGGCACCAAGGCTGAGCCAAGCTGGAATGTGGAAACCTTGAAGTAAAATTCACTCAGAGAAAAGCTGAATGAAGGTGTAACATTGGTTTCAGGGGGTAGGTGGCTGCTGATAGTATTGTTTCTCTGGGTGCCTCATGGAAGATTTTCAGCTAACTTCCTGCCAAACAGCTAAAGCTAACACCTCCATGATGGACCACGTGGGGCCAGGACAGGCAACAGGAAGGAGCACTTACTTCTTACAGTGGATTGCCCTGATATCCCTGCATTTGACTTGCTCTGGCTGTGAAATGAGCAAGCGAGAGTGAGGGGGAGGGGAGGGGAGGGGAGGAGAGGAGAGGAGAGGAGAGGAGAGGAGAGGAGAGGAGAGGAGAG